CACTCTTTCAGTTACAGTTATCGTGCAGTTATCTTTTTAAAAAATATTTGTTGTAAAACCATGATCTTTTTAAGGCATTAATTTTTAATAATACTATTTTTTGCACCTGCTCATCAGATAATTATTTAAAGAACATACCAGCCTTAGTATTGTGAAATTAATGAAACCTAAATCAATCACAGGCAATTGCTGGAGATATGTGACCAGTATGGATGCAGCTGCTGAATTATTTTCTGAGTGCTTACGCTTACTTGGTATTTTGGACTGCCTTAAATGAGGCGACTAAATCAATGAAATATGCACATGAGAAAAATAATTTCACAGTGAACCAGACCCTTGAAGACCTATTTATTGTCAGTTTCTTAGCACTCTAATGTATATTTTTAATTAATTCAGTCCATTCATAATCAATTACAGTCACTGTTAAGCTCTCTCAGTTGTACTTTTAACTAACTTCCTGTCCTCAGGCAGCAAATATATATAGACTTGACTGCCAAAAAGTGCCTTTATATTTAATTCATAAACTCCTGAAGTTACACTTTTCTAATTTTGTATGGATTCTAAAATACATTACCTACCAGAGTGCCTCTAGGGTCTAGCCCTTTAAGTCTTTAACAGCTGCAGCTATCAGTGAGACAGTTTTACCAGAAAGGTGAAGAGCCTTTGCTGGTATAAAAAAAGTGATTGTTTCCATTGGCAAGGTCTTTTCCCTGTAGGGCAGTGAATTGGTATCTTGCCTAATGTCTTGTCTGTGCACTATTGTTTAACAACTGCCACACCAAAGTACTTTGTCCAGACCTGGTCTGGATATGTCACCAGTTCCTGAAACAACCACCAAAGGATGCAGGCCTCTGTGCTTTATAGCAGTCTGTCACTCTTGGTATCAGGCAGCAGTACAAGTGTAGTTGCTGAGTGTCTGTAAAAACAAGATCTTAGCTATTGACATTCAGGTTTTGATCAGTTATTACAACATACTTGTCCTTTTTTAGTCACTGTTTCAACCGCAGATCTGTTCATATCACTCCTTTTCAGGAATGGCTCCAGACTTAGAGCTGAATTTAGATGGTGATTTTTCATTTCTGCTATTACTGTACTCAGCCTTGGAAGTTGCTAAAAGCAAATAGAATGTGCTAGCACTGCAGATGAAAGTTTTTCATTATCTGCACATTCTCTAGCCTTTACCTGAGAGGTCTTCCAAATGTGTAAATAAGACTGAAGGAAAAAAAAACCACCTCTGCTTATTCAGCTGTTTATTACAGTATATTGCTTGTAAATTAGTGATACCCAACTGCACATCTATTTCTAAGGTGCCTGTTGTCTGAGTTGAAGAACAGTTTTAATCTTAAGTCACTCCTAGTGCTGTGACATGACAGAGACTAAGGTGTCCTGCTACTGATGCAGAACCACACCTGAGCCTCACTGTGTGTTTTCTTCTTACTGCTTTGGTGGAGAGGATGTAGGAGAGAGAATGGAGAACCAGGAGGCGAAGGTTGCTGAGTGTGGTACTAGTGACATCAAATTGTGCACTGGAAGCCACAGGAACTCCTGTAGTCTCCAAGCTACCTTGGATTGAGACAAACCTTACTTTTTTTATTCAGTCACTCATGAAAAATATATTTTGGACATTATAAACTAGTACTTTTTGGCTAAGTGAAAGGAAGAAGCATTTCCCCTAAAATTTGAAGTTACTCTTTGTGACTATAAACCAATAATGTAATTTGCTGTTTCTGTACATCTTGATTTGGGCTTTTTCACTGTTATTAATTGATAGAAGTGTTCAAAGCCAGGTTGGACAGGGCTTTGAGCAACCTGATCTCGTGGGAGGTGTCCCTGACCATGACAGGGAGTTGGACTGGATGAGCTTTAAGGTCCCTTCCAACCCAAACCATTCCATGATTCTATGGTATAAAGGTGTTAGAAACAGAAATGCCAATTAGAAAAATTTTCATCTGAGCTCATTAATCTTTCACAGTCCTACTCCCTTGTATTGTGAAAATTTATCCATGAAGATAACTTACAGATTTGTAATCATATTATATTCCTTAGACTCTTCATCAAAAATTGATATGGAGAAAGTGCAGCATAAAAAACTCTGTTGTAAATCCGGTATTTGTTAATACAAATTCTCATCTGGATATCTAATTGCAGCAAATCTTGACGTACTGTATACAATTTTTGCTGTTGTCTCTTTTGTCAAGGAAGTACATCCTGTCAGCTTAAGAGAAATACCTGTTCCATCAAAAGGCTATCTGAATACCACAAGGCAAATGCAATGCAGAGAGGTAATCAGGTTTGCAATCAGTTCAGAGAAAACAGTCTACTTGCACATACTTCTGGCTGTGAGACAGTCAGCAACTCAGCACATAGAGAGGCGATCCTGGTCTTTTAGAATATGTTAATTTGCTCTGGAATATATGCCCACTGGATCATCTTGTAGGCTCCACTAAGCTGCCACTAAAGTAAATAGAGTTCATGGGAGCTAAATATCAAAGAATATACACATACACCTAGCAATATAACCCTGTACTACACCTAGTGCATACAGCTTTGTGAACTGAATGCAGCGAGTTGTAGTTATACAAATTGTACATTTTTATTTTTTTTTTAGTAAAGGGGCAGTTTTCAGATTTACCAGATAAAACAAAACCAAGATTGTTTCACCTAATTAAACATCTAATGATAAAGAAACTGCCAGAATGTTGCTGAACTTAATAATTTATCAGCTCTTCTCATCCGTCAGCATAATCAAAATAGTTGTTCCTGCAAAATGAACTAATGAACCGTTCTTTTCAGCACTTTGATGTCCTAATATTATCTACACAAAGTAAGTGCTACGCTAAGCTTTCACCGTCACACAAAGTGCACTTTTGAAATTGTTACTATAGCAAGTGTTTGTTTTAAAAGAGCAGTGCACCAATTTAGGATGATGCCTGCCTCTTTCCTTCTGGAATTGAAGAGTGCTCTTCTTCATCCTGACCTGTCTCCCTTTTACACCCACAAGTTTTGCTCACCTCCGTTCCTTTGTCCCTTGAATGACAGTATTCAATTTTGCCAGAGTTACTGAAAATCATGAACTGCCCATTTGGTGGATAAGAACCTGTTAGAAATAAGCCCAGTTATTAAGAGAGCTGTATTGCTGCCAGTCCAGTGATTTTTTTCTTTTTTGCATGTGTCCCCCCCCGTTGGCTAGTTTTAAATTCATAGCATTGAAGTACCTACTGAATTAATTCCCGTGCAGTGAACCTGTGATTGCACAGCTATTGAAGTATGTAGTCGCCCTTCATTCTTGCATCTAAAATCTACTGCATGAAAAATGAGAATATCCTTGTCACACTCAAAAAGCTGGTTTTTGTGAGACTTGCACTTAATGTCTCTGATTTCTTTAAGAGCTCTTCTGTCCATCGGACAGATAATTTATGTGCATGTCTAATTGGAATACAAGACACAAAATTTTAAACACTGAAAGTGAACTTCCTTTATTCCTAAACCTATAGAATATGTTTGCGGGGGATACATTATCTAGTTTAGAAAAATTGAGTAAAATAATTAATTTCCATATCAGAAATGAAAAATCATCTCCTTAGCATTTTTAATTTCCAAGCAAATTTGCCATCTTTATATCTCAGTAGTATGGGTGAAATTCAGACCTGGTGAAAGGGAGAAAGTTCCATTTAAGAGAACTCACACCAGCCCTGAACTCAGCTCTTTGCTTTTGGCAACCAGGAGTTCTTAAGAACGTGAGTTCCCAGTCTTCTGTATCTCCATTTCCTGTAATGGGATATAGATAACTACCATTATATCTGGAGAGGAGGGGAGCTTAATTTTGAGAAATCATCGACCTTCCAGCAACAGCCTGTCACTGCTGCCTGCCCTGAACTGTTTTGTCCGTGCTGTGTTGGGTTTCCTGACAGCAGTGGCCTTGGCAGAGGTTGAGTACATCCGAGCATGTGAAGTCCCATCATAGTCACTCAGAGAATCAGGAAGGACTGGAGACAAAAGAAACACTAACTTTTAAAATATGTATAAAATTGTCTACTTGACCCTCATAATTGATTTTGGCAGAAGGATATACTTTATTATAACTTATTTTGTTGTTGTTTGTAAATACAAGATGTCTATGGGAAATATGTAATTCTGAGCTGTGTCTATGGAACAAGCCACTGCACCAAAATATTTCAAATATTTAGAATAGGCAGATTTTTTTTTTATTAAAAGGGACCTAATATGTATTTATTTACATATACCATTCAAATTTTGTCCAGCTCTTTCATTATACTAACCCAGCTTTTTAGAGAATTTCATAGCACGGGTATTACATATATATTTTTTTAATATATGTCATACTATAAATTCGTAACACAATTTCCTAAACTTTCTGATTAGCCAGTTCCTTGAGTGAATTAAAGAGGGAGAGTATAGGCAAATTGCTTTCTGACTCGTTCAGGAATATGTATCCATGGCAATGCACCTGAACCAGAACTGTACAGCATTCCTTTCATATTGTATACATTTTCTCTTTGATGAAAAAAAATGTTAACTATTTTTGTTTATGACTAATTTATTTTTATTATTGTGAAAAATAAAGTGATTCATGATGAATTTTATGTGACATGATTTATCTCATACTTGGTTGGTCTTTTCTTCCAGAGTTTCTCAAGAATTAAGCACAAGTACAAACAAAGGTATAAAACACTAAGGCAGACCATTACAGATTTCATTATAGTTTCGCTAGAAATCGGTGAAATTCCAAAGGAGAAAAAGAGAACCTAAACGTCTTTAATCCGAAATTCATAACCCCGTGTGTGGAAATCACCAAATACCTTCGGTGTGGCCGGGGACACCTCGCGCCT